GAAGAATTGGCTGAAGTTCTGAGGATCCAGGTCACAAATAAGGTTAAGTACTTAGGGATACATATGACAGCAAGATGCAGTACACTCAAGGAGGATAATTACCTTAAATTCAAACAACAGATTGCGACAGATTTGACAAAATGGGAAAATTTACAACTATCATTAAATGGGAGAATATCAACAATTAAGATGAATATATTACCTAGAATTTTATACTTATTCCAAACAATTCCAATTAGGTTAGGGAAAGAGTATTTTGAAGATTTAAATAACAGTGTTGAAGTATATTTGGCAGGGAAAGCAAGGAAGAATAAAACTTAAACTGTTGCAAGATAAAAGAATACGAGGAGGATTTGGCCTGCCTAATTGGGAATTATATTATCAGGCAACAAACTTGATGTGGAGAAAGAAATGGATAATGCTAAGGAACAGTAGATTATTGACTTTAAGAAGGACATGATTTGCTGTTGGGATGCCATGCTTTCCTCTGGTACAAGGGAACTAAAATACAGGGGTATTTTAGAAGACATTATATTCGAGAGGCATTGCTATTAAATTGGGAGAAGATTAAAAAGCAATATTACTTAAAAATTCCACTTTGGTTATCTACTATTGAAGCTTTTTCTTATCCAATAACATATAAAAAGGAACAAAGAGTTAGATATGGGGAGATACTGAATGGAAAGGGTGAACTTAAATCTATGCAAGAATTGGAAGAGCAGGGTAGAAGGATGAATTGGTTTTCATATGTGCAAATACGTTCTAGATTTGATAAAGATCTTAAAACAGAAAGTTTCTATGATAAGTTGACTGATTTAGATAAAATTTTGACAGGTACTGATGAAAAGGTAATTTAAAAACTTTATGGGCATTTACTAGAGTTTAAATTAGAGGAGGAGCAAGTTAAAGAAACAATGATTGCTTGGGGGGAAAATTTTGAATATGGGATTGAACTAGAGAAATGGCAAAAATTATGGTTTCAAAATTATAAAATGACAATGTCAACTGCATACAAAGAAAATTTGTATAAGATGTTTTACAGGTGGAACCTACCCCCAACAAGAATTGCAAGAATGTTTAATGTGGTGGTCTGGCACTTGAAATGAGACGCAGGGAACCGTCTGAGCAAATGCCAGCCCCGAGAGAACTCGGGTAGCAGTATTTATTTAAGAAAATGCAAGTACAAAATCAAAACAATGACCTCAACATTACCTCAGCAGCATTACCTCAGCAGCATTACCTCAGCAGGGCTGCAGAAAGTCCCATGAGAATATCTAAACACGGAAAGTCCCACGGGAATGGCTCGGCTAGGTACTGTGAACTTTCACCGATATACCTGGTCCATCTAAGCTTTGCAGGTCAAAACAGGACCAAACTCCCATCATAAAGGCAATACTGCCCCCATGAGGAGCGTTTGTAAATCCCCAGATCTTATGCAAAACTGTACGAAGGACTTTACAGAATATGATGAATTACCACATTCCCTCCTTTTTTATTTATTCAAAGATAGGGGGTGTTTTAGTGGCATAATACACAGTTCCCTCGCAACTTGGTCTCATACGTTGAAAAGCTGAGGTACACATTTGAAATAGATTAGGAATACATTGAATACAGCAACATAACATAATAAGTATAATAACAATTATTACAACTAATTGAAGCAATAAACGTAACCATGAGCTGTCAGGAAGCCAATCCCATAGCAAAGCCCAAAGTGACTTATTGAAGCCATCTTTTCCTGCTTCGTGTTCAGCTATGCGGTCTTCCATATCATGAACAGTTCTTGTAATGTTAGGCTCATAATTATGTATAAAAACACAACAATGTGAATGAATTAAAGCACAAACTCCTCCTTTAGCAGCTAACATTATGTCTAAAGCATAACGATTTTGTAAAGTAACTTGGCGAATTTCAGACACTTCTTCATTTAACATCTTAATACTCTTAACAGTATCATTAAACATAGCAACAGTAAAATTATTTAAAATATGAATATCTTCATAGTTCATAGCTATTCCCAAAGGTGGGATAGAGAGTCTGTATAAGGTAACTTAGGCAACTCCAATTGACACCAATATTGTCCATAGTCTGAAACAGAAACATTAAAAAGAATCAGAGTTGTAGCACAGGCTGAAGATATAATATCCTTATCAGGTCCCGAGTAAAGAATGTCTTGATCCTTATGCCAGGACCAATATGCTGGAAAAATCAAAGGATGCCGCTGTTTGCAGATTAATTTAGTCCGATTCCCCAAAGGAACCTGCTGCATACAAGTTGGCAATCTCAGATAAGCAGTCATCTTTTCCCAGCCTTCACAGCGCCGCGCCTGGATTGCCGGCATCAAGAGAATCAGGAACCACAGGTACGGAATCAGGAACCACAGGAACGCCATCCTGCTCCTCCGAAACCTCCTTCACTGGCACCTGCGAAGGCGCCTGCGAATGATCAGGCCGAACACATCGACCAGGAACCCAACGAATTTGACCAAGATGTTCTACTGCTGCATAACCACGTCCCCACGTAATCAGCTCAGCGGGAACCCATGCCGGATCCGGAAGAAATCGCACCAACACTCGAGGCCTCACTGCATCTGTAGAAGGAGAAGAAAAATGCCTGCTGGCCGCACTCGCAGGGGGGTTACCAGACAAATTTAGAAAATTTAAAGTATACAAAGCAAGATTTAAATGATCTTGAATTGCCGGAAGCCCCAGGAGCTTCCCTCCTTTTTTATTTAATTTAGCTAACATGTTCTTGAGCGTGCCATTATGACGCTCCACAATAGCTTGTCCTGTGGAATTGTATGGAATCCCAAATTTATGTTCCACGGACCACTGTTTGCAAAACTGATCAAAGACTGTGCTCCGATAAGCCGCACCATTGTCTGTTTTTAAAGTTTGAGGCGTACCAGCAACTGAAAGTGTCTTAATGCAATGATTGATGACATGTTTAACCGCTTCACCTCTTTGAGGAGTAGCCATTAGAAATCCTGAATAAGTATCCACAGTCACATGGATATACTTCCAGGGTGCAAATGATGGATATTGAGTAACATCCATTTGCCAAATCATTGAAGGTTTCAACCCCCTGGGGTTGACTCCCATAGGAATAGCCGTGCCCTGTTTTGAACAAGTTGGACATTG